AGATGGAATAGGATCAAGCGAACAAGTAGTAGGATGATTAGAAAGGATGAGTTTGGAGAATTCCGCCTCAGAGAGTGGAGAGAAGGATGTGAATGAGTGTATGTTTGCTGGTAAGATTGTGGTGTGGAAAATTGTGCAATGATTTTATTATTATTATTGATTAATTTTATTGATGAAGAACGTGGGAAAGTTTTCAACTGTTAGAGTTGATGAAGTAGGGGGAGGAGGAGGGCAAAGAAGCGATGAAAATGTTTTAAAGAGCATGCGAGAGTTAGACGGAATTGTTAATTTTGTTATGATAGTATGTCCTTTTAGCAGTGGAGACATTAGCAGAGAAGGAAGAGAGGAGTGACTGATACATATTAAGGTCAGTAGGATTTTTTGATTTGCGCCATACACTTCCAGCAGCCCTGAGCTTAGAACAATGCTCACGGAGAACATCATGATAGTCAAGGGGCAGAAGGGGTGTGTAGCGAATCAGCTCAAAGTGGAAATATGAATAATTAATTTTAACTAGTTATAATTAAATATAAATATTTAGATCCTCTGTAAGTATTTACTTGACATCTCAGTGTCAACTGTCTGTCAATTCTAAGAACGTTAATTTCCTGGTTAAGGAAAATAACTTTCTTACTGTACAATACTACTCAGAGCATGTAGCAAAAATCTGCATGATTAGGGACTCCAGTTATGAGCAAACAATGAACAACCTCAAGTGTGATACAAGTAAGACTTTATTAACGACATAAACACTTAAGCTAGTCTAACACACACACACACACACACACACAAATACAGTTGGCATAGGAAAAAGGGGTTAAAGCTTAAGCAGTAAAGAGAAGAGAAATCAAGACATGAAGCTATGGTACAATTTGATAATCAGCAGATCTACGGCCTGAAGGAAACATCAGTTTCTTAGTTCAAACACACCTTTGTAAAAAGGTGCAAATGATACTTAATGTATCAATTAATAAGACTAAGTTTGATACTTGCACGTCTCGCCTGTTTGAAAGAGAGTCCTGATGCACTTTGGGGCTCCAGTTGGTTGGCTGAAGTTAGGTGATGAGAAATAACCATTTTGAGTCAGCGGATCTTGATGAATGGAAAGACTAGGCCGAAGCCTGGCGCAGACTTAAGGGTTGCAGAAGAGTTTCTAGCTCACATCCTTATCTTCTCAGAAACTAACAGGACCACAGACTAGTGTCGAGGACTGCTAGGCACGGCTGCGTCGGCTCTGGTACTTAGCAACCAGCAGACGGGAAGGTGATGAGAGATGAGTAAAGAGACTAAAAAGCAAGGCGGGTCACTGAAGTGAGGCCATTTAAGGTCTGTGGAGGTCAAACCTCTCGGGGGTCAAAGAGCCAATGGTGACTTGAACTTTTGGAGGGAAAGTTTTTGACTCTGTCTCCAAGCATGGCAATTTGGATATGTAACTGGATTGGATGTTGATGCAAAGATTCTTAGAACAATAATATGTTGCATAAATATCAACATATACTATAAACGCTCATTTAGATCATCAGAAGACAAATTCAAAGAGACCAAACATGGGGTTATATTAACTAGTAATCTATCATAACACACACACAAAACAGTATACAATTCAAAAGACAATATACAAGAACAGTAATGGTATACACAATGTCCTGAGTTGTATAAATGTGTGTCCTCTCATTATAAAACTCTCCTTTAACTCGGCAACTGTGAAGTGGTGCAGGACAACCTCCCACCAGTCCTTGTTTTGGATTCTCAACCACAGGCAATCCATTTTGGGCACGGGAGGGGCATTTTTTTGCGTGATAAATATGAGCAGCACGGCACAGCGGTTTATATGTATATTTATCCATAAATTTATAAATATTAATTCTACTATTAAAAACAAATAAAGAAGCCATGTAGGAAAGTGGTTATTATTTGCAAACAGTGACAAACTCTATATTTGTGCAGTGTGCACAAATCAATTCTGATTTGAAACTTGTAACATATAAACACGCACATCAACCCGATCACTTTCTTTAGCGTTCATGTAAACACTACATTCAGATTCATCAATCGGAATGAATTCAGTCCAATTGAACCAAAAATTGTGCATGTAAACGTAGCCAATGTGTAGAAAAGAGGTCGAGTCAGGACTTAGCTGCTTCTTGCACGTTAAACCAAACATTTATCATTTGTGGTTTATATTTGTCTCTTTCTAGTTTGGACCACAGAGAACCTTTCAGAATCACACCTGGACTGAGGAAATGTAGGTCTTGTCTCTTATTCACACACACACACACACACACACACACACACACAAACGTATCCTTCATGTATCTCTCATCTCTCTTCCTCTGTTCAGATGCATGTGCTCTCACACTGGATCCAAACACAGCACACACTCAACTCATCCTGTCTGAGGATAACAGAAGGATGGCACATGTGAAAGAGCCACAGCTGTATCCTGATCATCCAGACAGATTTGAGCTCTATGAGCAGGTTCTGTGTCGAGAGAGTCTGACTGGACGCTGTTACTGGGAGGCTGAGCGGAGCGGGATGGCAGCTGATGTTGCAGTGACATATAAAGGAATCAAGAGGAAAGCAGGGAGTAATTGTTGGTTTGGATACAGTGACAAAACCTGGAGTCTGTACTGCTCTGCTAATGAATTCACTGTCTGGCACAATAATATGAGCAAGAATATACCAGTCCTTTCATCCTCTAAGAGAGTAGGAGTGTATCTGGACTGGTCAGTCGGCACTCTGTCCTTCTACAGCGTCTCTGACACACACACACTCACACACTTACACACATTCAACACCACATTCACTGAACCCCTCTATGCTGGATTCAAGGTTTATGATTCTGAATTGTCTCTGTGTCAGACTGAACAAACTGCTGCAAGAAACAACTGAGACATCGCAAACAACAGAGATGAGCACAAACATTTACAAATACTTGCTCATCAAAAGTATCAAAATGCAGTACAAAATACTGGCATGATAATATATTTGATTAAAGGGGTCATATGATGCTGCTAAAAAGAACATTATTTTGTATATTTGGTGTAGTGAAATGATTGGTTTAAGGTTCAAAAAACACATTATTTTCCACATACTGTACATTATTGTTGCTCCTCTATGCCCCGCCTTTCTGAAACACATCGATTTTTACAAAGCTCATCGGTCTGAAAAGCGAGGTGTGATCTGATTGGCCAGCTATCCAGTGCGTTGTGATTGGCCGAATTCCTCAAGCGTGTGAGGGAAATGTTACGTCCCTTACCATATTGTGATGCCTGCGGCAACCACATGTAACAACCCCAGGCTGGACTCTGCTTCGTCCACGGTGAAAGCCGATCCGGCGATCCACAGCGAAGTTGATGTATTTCCTCAGCGACCAGCACGGATCAGCTCCAGGCATGACGAAGCAGATATCGTCCTCTTTTGGAAGCCCAAACAAACACACAGCGCCTTCACGACTTGGCAGCAGCAACAATACTACAGTGAGAATAAAAGTTACGCCTTCTTTCTTTGCGTGAACATTTGGGCGGCGTTATGCAAGTCTTCCCACACAGTGAGGTAGACCTTTGGGGGCGTGTTAGAACGAGCCGTTGTAGGTAGGCGTGGCTAACTCTTAACTTTTATAAAGAATATCTCTTTGGATTTGAGACTTTAGTCCTTGCAACTTTACAGATCTTCTTTATGCACCAAGAGCTTGTAACACTCCAAAGAGAAAGGAAAAACTGAAATCACATCATATGACCCCTTTAAAGTAATTTATAATTTAATAAAAGTTTTTAAGTTTATCCTGTAGGTTAGGTTATTGTTTTACGAACTGTGGTTGTCAAACATTTCATACAGCATTGTCCCTCATACTGAGTTTACTGTGCAATGCTGCAAGCCAATATGAATAAAAGTAGCTCAGTCAGCCAGCATAAAGACTACTTTCTCACAAAAAGTCATGATTTACTTGAATCTAGCCTAAAAAAAAAAAAAAAATGATATAACGCTAAAATTATTTATTAAGTATTTATTTATTTAATGTTTGTTATATTTTTTTCTTATTTATATTATTTATTTTAAATACATTGTCAATCTCTCAAAATATTTTGTTATAGATTGCATCTTATTATTTGCCAGCAAAATACAAGTTGCAAAATACTCAAAAGTAATTAAATGCATGTTTTAAATATACATAATGCAAACTGTCTTTTTCAAGCAGTCACAATTTTTATCTCTTTCTCATGCATTTCATTGTCCAATACCTCATTAAAATAAAAATGAAAGTTTTCCTTTCTTTCTTGCTTGCTTTCTTTCTTTCTTTCTTTCTTTCTTTCTTTCTTTCTTACACTCTCTCTCTCTCTCACACAACACACACACAGACCCATGTTGAGTTTTTTATCAGAATTGTTTTTATAGACAATGATTTTTATATTGTACGAACTTTACATTCTGTCCCTTAATTCCACCCTTAAATGTAATGTAGGGTTTACTCAGTTTACCAACATACATGTGTAAAAACTGTCCTTCATGTACTTTTCATCTCTCTTCTTGTTTTCAGATGCCTGTGATCTCACACTGGATCCAAACATAGCACATGTTAAACTCTCTCTGAGGACAATAGAAAGGCAACACATGTTGAGGAAAAGTAGCCATATCCTGTTCATCCAGACAGATTTGAGAGCTCTGACCAGGTTCTCTGTGGAGAGAGTCTGACTGGACGCTGTTACTGGGAGGCTGAATGGACTGGCAGTGACATACAAAGGAATCAGCAGGAAAGGAGGGAATGACTGTTGGTTTGGATGCAGTAACAAATCCTGGAGTCTGTACTGCTCTTCTGATGGATTCACTTCCTGGCACAATAATGTGAACACTAACGTACCTGTCCCATCACCCTATTCTACAAGAGTAGGAGTGTATGTGGACGTGTTGGCCGGCACTCTGTCCTTCTAAAGCACCTCTGACACACACACACACACACATGCTTACACACATTCACTGAACCCCTCTATGCTTGGTTTGGAGTGTTTGAGTCTGAACTGTCTCTGTGTCAGATTACACAACCTGCTGTGAGAAACAACTGAATCACACAGACTGTTTTGTTGCTTGTAATTTAGCTTTTAGGGCATCTACTTGCTAGTGTACATCTAAATGTTGAGCAAATTTGTTTTATACTAGATGCTTTAAAAATACTATGTCATACTGGAAATAAAAGTGTGTGTGTGTGTGCACTGGTTTGGTGGTTTATGGGGACACACATTTTTATAATGAGATGGGTTTGACAGGTATTAGAATGTGAAGGTGGTTTAGGACACTGCCTATGTCCCCATAATTCAAAAATGTTTTTTTTGAAAACGAAAAATGCAGAAAGTTTTCTGTAAGGGGTAGGTTTAGGTGTAGGGTTGGTTTAGAAAATATAGTTTGCACAGTATAAAAACCATTATATCAGCCATTATACATACCATTATATAAACCATTATATTCACTTATATCAGGATTTACTAGAGTACCGAGAAGGATTTCTTTCCCTTTGTGATCCCAGAAGAGCAGTCCGTTCCACTGCATGCCGTCTAAACTAACATTATTCTGACTGATGAACAGAAACTATTGTTCCTGGAGAGACACTGAATCTTGCTCATCACCTGCATTTGTTTTTAATTCCTGATTCTGATGCAGATAAACATCTGTAGAAAACTGTTCAGACATCAGGTGTCATCTGTTGTTCTGGGTGTTTTAGTGGGACTTCAGTGAGTTAAAGGTGTTGGTCTGTAGAAACACTCTGGGCTCTTCATTTGGTGTGATTTTATAAAAGCTACTGTAGATGTCATTGTTTCAGAGGATTCAGTCTCAGTTTCATCTGCTGGATTGTCAGCAACTGTTAGATCAATGTGTTTTCTCTCCGTTCAATATATTATAATGATAAAATTACCTATTATTTATTTCTGTAATCATAACTTTAATGAGATAATGTTCTTGATCACTAATTAATCCATTCAAGTATTCATGACTGTTTTTATACAGGAAGTTTTGGCTCACTCTGTTTAACACTGTTGTCATTACAAATTGGTAAGCTAAAACTACAATTCTGAGCAATTTGTATGTATGATTTTGTTTTGTTGCTACCTTGACATTTAATGTAGCATTTATATATATATATTTTCTGTTTATATTGTTTTATATTTCTTTTCTTGTGTTTTGGATTTGTCAAAACATTTGGTCAAGTAAGCTAAATATGTGGTTGTATTCAAATTGCAAAATATAAAATTAATTTGACTGACTCAAGCTGAATTCAATAGGTTGTATTAGTGAAAATAACTTATTTCATGGTTAAATCAGGGGAACATGTCTCTTTATTGTAACAGCTGCATGGCATACAACTTCAACTTCATGTATATATATAGCACATTTAAATGCAACTTTGTTGCCCAAAGTGCTTCACAAATTAAGGATAAAAATAAAATGCACACACATAACTTACACACAAGTAAAGAAACATTTATAAAAGTATACAATACAGATGGTTTGCTTCAATAAATATTTGCACTTGGAGAATCACGTTCAATGTCTGTTATGTTACATCTGTAAAGTTCAGATTCAGTGCTGAGAGATTCAGACACTAAACATTGAGATGAAGCAGTGATGTAGTGTGTTTACAGCATGTGTTCAGACAGACGTCGCTCCTCTATTTCATGTGTCTTTCTGATTTCTCCTCTCATCTCTCAGTCTGTTTTCATTCTTCATCTTCATTGGTTGCTCTCTCAAGTCCTGAATGGATGTTGTTGGAGTCTCTGCTGCTAGACGGGGGTCTCTGAGTCTGTGTGTCCAGGACAGTCTTCTCTCTGTGGGACACGGCCAGAGTCTGTCCATGCTCTGTCTGGATCATTTGACCGCTGTGAGACGACTGACACATGATGAAGGATGCACTGTATGAATGCAAGGTGAGACAAACATAAATGGTTATCTGACCACAGCTGTCCTGTTAAACAAAAATGCTGAATCACATCATCACTAGCATAAAGCTGATCTGTCAACCCAAACTCATTTGATTCTTCTTTTGCCATATTTTACCCCACACAATTTCTATAGTAATGGACTTTGTGGTGTGGATAGGACCCTTG